GCAGGAATCAAGCACTGTCAAGTGCCCAGGCTCCCTGTGCAGAGCAGGGGAGAATCAAGCATCTTGGAAGCAGATTAAAGCCAGCAGGCACACAGAGAGAGAGCCCTCTAGAGCTAGTCTGTAGGGCTGATCTGTCAACTGCCAGGCTGGAGAACATCCTCAGGGCGCTCGGACGTAGCAGTAGATTATTTGTGTCCCAATGAGTCTTGCACTTATTGCTGCACAGTGGCTTCAAGAGTGAGCTGAACTGTCTTTCTCCCCCTACAGTTGTCTGTGACCAGAGTGCTTTAACTGGGCTCTGGATTTTGAAACCATAAGGCAGGGAAAGAAATTTAATCTTCAGCTTCCACATCCCAATGATATCTATGAAACTGCAGGAGGAGACTTTTGCGGGGAAGACTTTAACTGTGCTTTTAGAAGAAGCCACAACCACCACTGTAGTTTACGTGGAACGCCATGATGTGTGCAGCATCGTATGTTATATATATGTTCAAAACATGTATTTGGTCCAGCACTGAGGGAGATGGGTGGAAGTGAGAGTGCTTGGATTTTGCTTGAACTTATAACAGAGGTGCCAAGCTGCTTAGTCCTGTCGAAAGTGAGCTGTTTCTGGACACACGCAGGAGCAGAATCACAGGATGCCTGGTCAAAACCGAAGATCATCCAGTGTTGGGTGTTTGGTGGGATGGGTTTTCAGGATCTTAGCTGTGGGCTTGGGCAGTATTTAGGCATTTCAGGATTCAGATCCTAAACCCTTTTGTTGGATCTAGTTCTCTGTGCCTCTGTTTCCTGTTTGTAAATATAAACGATGTTCTCTCATAGAGATGTTGTGAGGGTATGTACATTAGAAATTGTGAAACCTTGCAAGTGTCACAGATGGGTGGAATTATTTTAGGAGCTTGCCCTGCATAACCTGTGTAATCTGGTTAAATATGTGAAGAGCTATTGTTTTTGCAGCTCTTATCGTTCACTACTCACTTAAACAAACAGACTTATCTAGACTATTATCTTTTCCCCATATCCTCTTAGCCCTCTCATTTTTTCTGTTTGTTTATGCACTTACTGCAAATTTTAGATCATGAGCTGTCTCAAAGAAAGACTGTAGGTTCATTTTTTGTGTGATGTCTGGTGGTCCTCGTTTGGATCTGTATGAGATATTACTGCTACTAAAAAACTCTAATTTATGCATATCTGTACTGTATTATGCTTTGAACTGCTTGATATTAGTAAAAGCTTTCTTTTTTTTTTTTTTCCTGATTTGTATAGCGTTTCTACAAGAAAGCAGCTGCATTTGTGCTAAGAGCAGTTGGTAAACATTCTCCACAGCTAGCTCAGGCAATAGTTCATTGTGGAGCACTGGAAATGCTTGTGATTTGCTTGGAAGATTTTGACCCTGGAGTCAAAGAAGCTGCATCTTGGGCACTTGAGTATATTGCCCGACACAATTCAGGTAACAGGTTTCACATGTGTTATCTTTCAGCTTAATGCTCTGTGAGAGTTTTAATAAATTGCATTATTGTAATGTTCATAAATAGAACAAGATGCCTTTTCTTCTCTACTGTTATAAAATTTTCAATTTGGTGTAAAATCCTACTCTAACTCTACCAATCTGACAATGCTGTACCTTTTGTGGGTAACTGGCATATCTGCCACCATCAGTGCCCGGTTATGAGAGGTGCTCTAGGAGGAGACACATTGGGCCTGTGGCCAGGAAACAACACTCTGCTTTATTCTCCTTCATGAAGAAATTTCAGGGTCTTTATGTATCGTATAACTGTTACTGTGGAACAAAGTTTCTTTTGCTCGGCATTAGTTCGTATTTTATATACCTAGTAAAATGGAGAAGCCTAGACAGAACCAAGTTTCATTCAGCTTACAGCAGTGCCTCAGGATAAACGTGCCAGATTCATTGCACCAACTGTATTATCATTAGCCAGTAGACCACACTCTTCTCCGAGAGTCAGGAATAGATCCTAGGAATCCGATATCAAGCAGTTCAACTGCTGTCTCGCAAGCAGTTGTATAACTCACTGTCAGTGTCATGTTCCTATTTAAAAGCTGATCCACGTGGTTGATAATTCTTTTACCAGCTATTTATATAGTTCAAGTAAAAGTTTAGAGCCATGAATCAAAGAACTGAGGGAAGAAACTGCTGGCTGGAATGGTGGGAGAAACGGGTTGTGTTCATAAGTTGTGATCCTAGAATAATTTTAACTTTAAACAATAACTCATGCATTTATGTTTGGTTTTGGCTCTAAAATGTACATGGACTGAAATTGTGATTTTTCTTCTTTCTTTTTTTTTAATTGATATGGAGTGCTGGACTGCGGAAGGCATGGGGGCTTTCCCCTTCCCACTCAGAGAGAGAGTTAACTTACTGGGACAGACTCCAAAGTCGTCAGCACCTTCCTAACAGACTGCTTTTTCTGGGGAACAAATTCATTCTCGGGGCACCTCTGTATGCTAAAGATCATCTGTCTTTTGGTCATCGGGTCTGAATCCCACCCTTGGTGGAAAATAATTGTTGCTTCCATCTGAAAGATATTTGTTTAAGTGTAATTTGAAAGTGTTCCTTTGTATAAATGTGTGTAGTGTAAGTGTGTGTCTGTGTTACTCTTAACATAAACATTTCTGTAGTTTTGTTATGTCAGTAAATCAATATTGACTCACCTCAATTGCCTTTCATGCTATTCATTGCATGAATGCTGGCTGATCTTTAGGGTGATCCAGTTCACTCTGTGATGGCATTGTCTGCAAAGATGGAGATGATGTGGGGGTATTGAAGACAACAAGCTCCTTGTACAAAATTTTATTCCATGATTATGAATTATTTATTCACTGACAGTGAGTGGGTACATGTCTCGTGTCAATTCACACCAGTGATAAGAACAGCATTTTCAGAAATTAAGTTGAAATTGCAAGTGCTACCAAACTGCAAGCATCAGGATGTAGACAGATCACAAGATGTAATCAGTTAAAAACCAACAAACCAAACAAGCAAACAAAACAAAACAAAACAAAACAAAAAAACATGAAAAAATTGTTCTTCCCCTGCCCAGCTACGGCCAATTTGGGGGATTTACCTTCCTCTATAACAAAGTCACAGGAGGAAGTTTCTAAAATGAATATTGAAAGTAGAGAGGTTATACTGAAGAAAGATCCCTCTGTGCATGGTATGTCTTTTACACTCCTACAAGCATGCCTTTGCAACAGGATATTGTTGGAGATGGGATACAAAGATAGATGGACCTATTCTTATCAACATCTGGTGTTTACTGTTCAAGAAACTCTGGATTAGACTCACGTGCTTGTGTTGACAAAATTTGGCAGTTATGATTTTCTGTCATTGACTGTCTGTGGACACATATTGCAGCTTAAACTCTAAAAATAGAGTTGGGTGCGAAATGGTTTTCCCCACCCACAAAAGGTTTTTCAGTTTCAAAAATTGTTTCAGTTCCAAACTGGGACAAGATTAAGACAAGATTTTTTTTCTCTGCTGAAATGACTGGGGGGATAGGGAGGCTTATTTGCCCTAGCAAGAAAAGTTCAATAATTAGGGCCTATGTCCGGGATGTATGTGGGAGAAAGATTCAAGTCCTGATGTGTCTTAGGCAGGATGTGAACCTCTGTCCCCCTGAATGCCAGCAAAGCCTCCCAGCATTCGATGATAACTGTTTGCAATGGGAGGGTCTCTCTGCTTTTAATCAGAAATTCCATCCATGACCTGGTAAAGCTGCTCTCTAGGAACTGCAGTGTATGTTCCCGTGAAAAGACTGCCATTTTGAGAAATTAAGACTTTTTTTTTTTTCCTGATGAAAACATTCTCTGCTTAGCAAGTTCCCTACTGTCTTCATACAACAATCTCTTAAAATGCAGTTCTTGTGAACAGATGTCTTCAGAAGTGTGAGATTTTAGGTCAAGACAGATGTCTCGTGAGATTTCAAGACATTAGAAATCTTGCCAGGGCAGATTCCAAAGTTTAGGAACAGCTCTTGCAGTTCTGCTCTTTCTTGAAGATCCCTTTGAGCTGAATTTCAGACCTGATCTTACTCCAAAGTATACAGATCAGTGTGGTGTAATTTTGCCATTCATTATTTCTAGTATTTGTGTTTGAACAGAAGTGTAAAGTGTTTCAAATACCATCAAAATACCATCAGGTCCATGAAAAGTTAATAGTCTCTTACCTGCTTCAGCATTTAGTAAATTGGTAGGAAAACAAAAATAAACAATACTATTTATACTCAAGCATATTGCTGAGAGTGGAGTTATGCTCATTTTCTGTCATACAGTGGTACTCTTAGGATTATAGGATAGCTCAGCTTGGAAGGGACCTTGGGAGGTCTCTAGTCCAGCTTGCTGCTCAAAGCAGGGTCAGCTACAAGGTTAGACCAGGTTGCTCAGCTCTTCAGTGATGTGAGTCTAGCAGTAACTTTGTCTTATTCCAGGATCTAAGCTTGCCCCATAATTAATGACCTCCGTCCTTCTTCCGATGAAAGGTTTTCCCACTGATTCCAGTGAAATCTTTAGCACTGTGGTTGTAGCAGTCTGCATAAACCTGTGATTTTGAAGTGCAGCCTTTGGACTACTTGTGGGGATTAGAGTCTTCCTATGTGGCCATTACATGATCACACAGTCCTCAGAAAAATACAGTATTGGTGGTTGTTTTGGTCAAACCCTGTTATTTCCTGTGGATACACCTGCCACCACAGCAGGGTCTGTTTGAGAACCCTGCTCTGGACTGAAACTTGCATTTGCTTCCAAGCAAAGAAGGTTTTGCTGCTGCTCTGCTATGTGAATATGGCAGTTGTTCAGAGCTGGTTTTCCTTCTCTGGGGACTACCTGCACGTTCACTTCCTCACCTTCATCTTTTCTCCCTAATCTTTTTTTATCCATACTGTTATTGCCAGCATGTTAATGTTAGTACGGATTTTTTTTGGTAACACCTTAAACCACTTTAGACGAATTCTGTAAGACTTCCCATTGATTTCAGTGGGTACGTAGTCAGGATCTTACTGACTCCTCTTCATTCACTTTCCACTCTTCCTGGTCACATAAACTCATGACTAGGCCTCGACTTACTTTGAATTAATTTCTTAGACCCTGATGAATACTTTTGTATTGAGACAAATCAGTACAACTCCAGTACAACTTCTAGTTCAACTGGTGACATCTTAAACTCTAAAGTGTTTCGTTATCAGTCTTTCTTCTGCCTCCATGTCAGTCTGTCTTCATGTCTGCAGTATCTCCATTTGCTAAAATCTTCCCCATATTGTTGTGGACAAAAGCAACTAATTTATGGTGGGTTTTGAGTTTTAGTTCTCTTGTCTCTGAGCATACGTAGAATAACATTTCCTACTTTCACTCACGTAGGGAGAAGTCCTACTGTATCATCATGTAGTTGGGCAGGTTCCTTGAGCTGTACCCCAAACTGAAGTTCAAAGTCCAGGGTTTTCATAACTTTCCATGGAATTAAATGAGGTTCGTAAATTAGTTTTTCTCTGCTGTCTTTCTCCTCTTCAGCTATTGGTCTTGTCTTTGCCCTTATCATGCAGTCTTGGCGTACTGTTCAGAAAAGTATTTTTGTAGTTTGTTCCAGCTCTTTTAATTTCTTTGACTGAATATTTGTTTTTAAAAATTTCTTCTTGACAACTGCATTTTCTTCTTTAACCCTTTCTCAGCCTTTATTTTTTTCTCTGTCTGTGTTTTGTAATTGGTTAGCAAAGTTTCATGAATCCTTTGGTGTATAGTCTGAATTAAAGATGTTCTACCAAGTGGGAAGGTTAATTTGAGCCTGTTTTTGAGAAAAAAGAATTACAATTATCATAAAATCATTAATACTTAGAATTGTAGTTTCGGGCTGATTTTGCAGGGGAATGTGATGGGAAGGTCTATATTTTCTTTTGTCTCTGCCTCAGCTTTCCTAGTTTTCTGACAGTCCATTTACTGCTTGTCTGTCTTTTGACTCATGGTCTAGCCCTCCATGTGGTAAGTTACTAGCCATGAACCTTATAAACACCACTGGAAGAAGAACCATTTAATTAACCATGACCAACAGTAACCATCAGTATTTAAATGATATCAGACTTCTAACAGCAAGAGTTGGTCTAAATTGAATCAGATCTAGTTTGCTCTTTTAAAATAACTTTTATGGTTACTTTTGCATGCCTGGGCATAGCTGTGACCTTAAAGGATTGCTCTTTCTCTCCCTGCTTGAACTTCATGATTTCAGCTCATAAAGCATCAAAGAAACCCATTCTTTTAGTAGTATTCTGTCCCTCTTGACATGACTTTCCTGATATTAGCATCTCCTAGCAGACTGTAGGCAATTGAGTGGGTTGCTCTGAAGTTGCTTCTGAGGAATAGTTGGGTGGATTAATCTGGACTGTTGGTCAGTAGTTCATGATGTATTCCACTTGGTCAGTGTACAGCATCAAAGTACAATTTGAAGCAATCAAGTATGGCTTTTTCCATGAAAAGCTGAATGTAGCTTATACCACTTACATGGATTAGCTAGTTTTCATGTTTTCAGATACGTTTCAGGTACATTTCATTTCAAATTTGTAAAACTGAAGATACAGCATTTGGGTTTTGTTGAAATCTTACGATTTATGCATATTTGGAGGATGCACACTCTACATTTTCAGTCGAATGGTGATTTGAAAAGTGAACCGTGAGGGTTAATTTTTTATTAATTTAAAAATTACTGCATTATTTATTATAATTTTGTGAGGTAATATACTTTCTTTAAAATATTATATCATACAGTGTAAATATTTGACTTATCACATGTATTGGAGTGTGTGGCTATAACTCACTAATTGAAAACAAATCTGGTCAGGAACATTATTTGGATATTAACAACATAATGATGACATGACTTACAGATTTCATGAAAAACTATATCAGTCTATGTATATTTAATGAAGTGTGCTATATTTTTCTTAGTATTAAAATCTCTTTATGGATGGACTATAAATCAAAAGCTAAGTTAGAGTCTTGAAATACAACAGCCATATGTTGCCATGGTACTGTAAGTCAAGATAAATGTTAAAGATAATAATGGATATGCATAATAAGGTGTAGCAAAACTGTACTAAGAACCTAATAGATTATTGAATCCCTCATGATTTTTACCACTTTTTCAACACTATTTTAAAATAGCACAGCTTGGTTATAGTATAAATTTTGCTTCTGATATCCAGTAATTCTTATTTTAGCACTGTGATTAATGCTGCATACATGGAGAGAGCTAATGAATTTCTAATAGTGTAATTTTTGTCCATGTCAGCTAATCATATGCTCAGATTGTTTTTTTTTTTTCTTTTTTATTTAAGGTGCAGTTAGTTAAGGATATTGTACTAATCTCAGACACACAATATCCCACTGATGATATTTCTCATTTGTGTAATTGTGTATGATAACATTTTCATGTCATTAAAGTATAAATTCTGTCTTGTCCCATGTATGGTAGCAAAACCTAGTTTTGATCAGCAAGTTCCATTTTTCCAGTCTTTTATGTAAGATAAATCTTTTATGTATGTTTTTTGTATTTCTGTTTTTGGCATTTGATCTATGCTAATATCTGCTTATCATTTAAAGAGGGTAAAATGCTCTCTAATTAGGTGGTTGGTAAAATTTTGGTACTTTGGCTTTCTGTGTTGTTGTTAGCCATGCATAAAATGCTTTCCTATTGATCAGTGTAGAATAGCCAGGGTTTAAACAGCTGACATCTGCTTACTTTAAAAAAAGAAAAAGAAAACAGAATAACAAACCATTTCAGCCTAATCTACCTCAAATGTGTGCATGTAAATGGAGGTCCATCTATTGACCTGCATTCTTTTCAGTTGTGGATTGGTCCACACGGTTTATGAAACCAGGAGGGCTGATTTGAAATGCAGATGTCGAGACAGTGAACTGCACCCTCCCCTTTTTCCTTTGCTGTATCTGTCAGGGTGAAAAATGGCTTGCACAAGGGTCAGTCACCCATACTCACTTAATTACTTTCCTTGGACCTACAGAACTGTCACAAGCTGTGGTGGATGCAGGAGCTGTTCCTCTTTTAGTGCTCTGTATCCAGGAGCCAGAAATTGCTTTGAAAAGGATTGCTGCTTCAACTCTCAGTGATATTTCAAAGCATTCTCCAGAGTTAGCACAGACAGTAGTGGATGCAGGAGCTATCGCTCACTTAGCTCAGATGATCCTGAACCCTGATGCTAAACTGAAGGTACATTTAAAAATTATTTTTTTTTAATCTCCATTATACCAGTCATTACTTGATATTGAATCAAAGACACCAATGTGCATATTTCTTTAGGAAGCTCTCGTTTTGGGCGTTGACAAAGTGTAACTACATAGTTAGTGACAAAGAGTTCTGAACATATTCACAGATTTAGCTACTGGATAAAAACTGCTGCTCTGTGAGGAATAGCTAAACTAATCTCTAAAGTGGAGAGTATGAATTTTTTTTAGAATTATACAGTATATGAAGAATGCAACAGATATTTTTAATAGATAAAATTTGCACAATTCGGTTACAAAAAAGGTTTGGCATACTTAAGATTATACTATAAACCAGTTAATATTAGATGTATTATTGTATTTTAGAATGTACTATCTGATGTGAATAGCTGTTGTCGAAGGTTTAATCACTAGAGTTTAACTGACAAAAAATTGTTTCTTAATATAATTCTTCTGTCTTATTCTAACAGAAACAGAAGACAACATAAAAATGCCACTTCAAACAAATAGATAAAAATTATTTAATATATGGTCTGACTTGCGCACATAAAGATACTTTCTATAGATTTCACTTAATTTTAAATTACAGTTTTAAATGGTATATATATTTTTTCCTTTTTAATACATGGCAAGCTTGAATGGGATAAAACAAAGGAGAAACTTTTATTCAGGAACCAGCGAATGTTCTGTGCCATTATATTCGTGCATGAATTGACTCAGTGAATTGTAAAATAGCTGTAATTGTTTTCCCTATCCTGCTTTGTTTTCCTTGATGCAATAGATTTTTGTGTGCGGGAGGAGTGTGTGTTGTGGGATGTTTGTATACTATTGATTTTATAACAATTTTTATTTACTAGCGTCAGGTGCTGTCAGCTCTAAGCCAAATAGCAAAGCATTCAGTGGATCTTGCAGAGTTGGTGGTTGAAGCAGAAATTTTCCCAGTTGTGCTCACATGCCTGAAGGACTCAGATGAATATGTCAAGAAAAATGGTGCAACTTTAATTAGAGAGATAGCAAAGCATACGCCTGAGGTAAAACCTTGAAAATGCAAATACAAGGTCATATCATTAGATTTTACACTTTAAGTAAAATACAGGATTATTCTGTCATTTGCTTTTTGAAAGGGAGGGCAAATAGCTGTTTGGCATGTTCATTGGAAAAATATGGAAATGCTGATATTATGAGATGTGTATTGAATGTGACTTGGGTTAGGAAACTGGGAATCATATAATGTATACCTAGCTACTTCATTCTGTAAAATATCTGTGCAGAGAGGGAGTTTTAGGCTGACGGTATTGTCAGACCTAGATATTAAAAATATCATGAGAAAAGCCTCGCAGAAGTCATGATACCAGCTAATAAATGACAGGATCATCCTATAACAATAATAGATGGTGTGTGTCTTTTTTAAAAATCTTCTGGGGTGCTGGGATCACATTTTAATTATTTTTCCAATGACAATGAAGGTCAAAAGTTCTCTTAGTTATTATTAAACTGACAGTAGTTTCTTTTATTAGCTTGAGTTTGTAATTTGAGTCTCAGCATTTGCAGTGCTTTTGCCAATAATTGACACAGGAAGGTGGGGATGTTTGGCAAAGTCAATACACAATAAATAGGAAAAACAAACAATTATAACTATGTTAATCTGTCAGACCATAGAGATAATTAATAGGCTCTCAATATGACTCTGGAATGAAATACAAGCAATGTATTATTTGTGGAACGAACACGCTAATGCTGAGCACAGCCATTTCAGAATCATGATACTAGCTTAACAATCGAGACGTGTTTAAACATGAATATTGTGCTGTTTCTTCAGCCTGCTAGTCTTGAAGCTGCTGGTGATTAGAGGTTGCAGTCTTGTCACATTTCCTGCTTTCTCTCTGCACCTCATGAGCAATGCAACTTCACTTTCTCAACAAAAGTGAAGAAAGTATCATTATCAAAGGGGGGCACTAGAGTCTGAAGCCAGAGGCCAAACTCACAAGACTGCAGGTCTCAGAAGAGCTGCTTGCACAGGATCCTCCACGCAAGGGGAACTGGCCACTCCAGCAGCTCTCCAAAGGAGCTGTAGGAGGTATCTCAGTGACTCCCAGTGAGAAGTCAAAAATCCACGTTCGACTTTAGAGTGACAGTGATCTCTGTCCATGTCTGAGCGACTCTATTCAAGCAACACATGTTGCAGCAGAGACAGATTGGCAAACGATATTGCTTGAGGAGTCGGCTGTGTCAGTCATGGGAGCGTTGTGGCTTTTGGATCTCAGCTCTCTATCTGCATATGCAGTAAAATTCACGTGAAGGTGAGGATCTGGGGGACTTGCAATGCGGCCTGAGGGTCACAGCACCAGGGAGAGTGTCTGCGCAGGAGCTCTCTGTACGCGGCTGTGCCCAGATGTAGGACTTGGTCATCACTGGCTGCAGTTCACAATCATGTGAAGAGTTTTTCCTAAGTAATAACTTTAAGTTTTATCTAGCTGTTTCATGAAAAGCAATCCCCTTTTAAAGGCTCTAAGGCAACAGTGGATTTTATGTTTATATAAATCAGCTGGACTGGAAATCCACAAGCCTCAGTTTTGTTAATTTGATTTTGGCTTTTAAGAACGTGTTTCTTTTGCTTTGGTATCTTTGGAAAAATGTGATATACCTACCACGATAAAAGATATCATAATATGAAATTATTTTAATTTCTGTGCATTGTTGGTATCATACATACACTACTGCTGTCCCTCAAGTGACGTGAGAAGTGATACCTTTTGGAAAGAAACATGTTGCATGACTTGATACACACAGCAAGCATCATAGACTGTGGACATGATTATCATTTATAAGCAAGGCTATATAATTTGGCGTTCTGGGGCAAACTCCATTGCCCATCCAGTGTGTTCCCGGACACCTCCCTCAATACCCTAACATGGCAGAACGGTGTAGTCGAAGTCAGTTTAGCACATCCAAGACAGTTGTCTTTGGCTTGATGCCTCAGTAGGGGGATCCACAAAGGCTTCACGCTGCAGAGGTTATCTAGAATGCAGGCGAGAGGAGGAGTGGGCCTTTCCCTCTGTCCCTGCACAGAACATATGATGTTGGCTTGGGAATGAGTGGGCATGAGTATGAAAGAATATCTGGCTCAGTAGGTGCATCTTCAAGGGCATTCATGTATTTGGCTGTCATTTGCATGATTCTTTGGTGTATACTAATGGAGTTGAGAATATGTCATTCCATGCTATACAGCATCAAGAATTCAGAGTCCCGATTTCCTTGCGGTAAAGTCAATCAAAAACAGAGTAGGAAAACAGCTTCATTCCTGAGAATGTCAAGCTGCACTTAGCGCCCAACAGCCTGTGTGATGCATCGCTCTTATTCCAGCTTTATTTTGTAAATCAGGAGCAATACATTTAAAGACTTTTCTAATGTAGTGCTTTATGCCTGTTGATAGTTCACAGTATCTAATCTCTTCCGTTTATCTTTTCAGCTTTCACAGCTTATAGTAAATGCAGGTGGAGTTGCTGCTGTGATTGATTGTATTGGCAGCTGCAGAGGGACTGTCAGACTGCCTGGCATCATGATGCTTGGTTACGTAGCAGCTCATTCAGAGAACCTGTCAATGGCAGTGATTGTCTCCAAGGTTAGTTATCACTTTGTTGTCTTCCTATAATTCTTCAGTGGTATTCTGAGAAAGAGGTACACATTAACATAGGGAGAGAATGTATTTTGTGACAGAATTATATACTTGCTGTTGATGAATGCACTTTCTCCTACTATTGCTGCTTGCTGTGGCTGAAATTATGTGGTAACCTGATCAAAGTGTGTCTTTATGAAGTTGAACCTTTTGTAAAATGTCCTGGATTAGTTATGAACATCCATTTGTATTACAGTATATGATTTTTCTGTGTTGCAATTGCACGGGTACAGAAAATAAGTCAGTGAATTTCTATGGTCTATTTCCTCTTAAAATGAATATTTGTGGCTACATCAAAACCCTTTTTGAAACGAGAATGTTTAACGGCACATTCTTCATTGCACTAGCATGACTCTCCTAGTGCCGCTAGCGCAGTCCTGCAGCAAGACCTCAGTTTCTAGTGTAGCATGGTTTGATTCAGTTGTGCAAGTGACATTTCAAATGAGATAAGCTATACATTTTCAGGTTTAAATAAATTCTGCTGGGCAATGATATAGATGGGAGAGAATTTGCAATATTCGCAATAGGTGAAATTAGTGCCTGACATAATATTCTGATGTGAATAATGCTAACTAATGACAGGAGGAAGGAAGTAATTTCACTGGGTATTGTTGGCCCATTTTCACACTATGCCATTCATTTAAAATATACTATATGAGTGGAAGCAATGAAACAATAAAAACAGAGGAACAGAAATGTCTTCGAGTAGGAATGCAAGTTAAAAAATGGAAATTGCTACAACATAACATCAACAGGGAAGGTAGGAGTGATCAAAAAAATGTGCTTCTGCATTTGAAAACTAAAGAAATAGGCACTTTTTTCTTGCCCTCTCTGGAAGCCGTTCTTCTCTGGATGTGTCTCTGTCTCTCCACTTTCAGGGATGCCTAGAGCAAGTATGCTCCTGCTATTGAGTGCTTGACATTAAGTGGGATGAATCCAGGATTAAGTTCATGAGGAAGCACCTAAGTGATAAATTTTTGAAGAGTAATAATGGTTGCTACCATAACTGAATGGGAGTGCAGTGATAGATTTTGTAGGGATCTGTGCAAACTCTCATGAAATTAAATATTTTAATGAATGATGCACAAAAGAAACCCAAATAAACCCAAAAACCATTTAAAAAAAATTTGCCACAGGGGAAACTGAGCTTGTGGAATGGTACGTAGTGCTGAGGACCTGGCTTGGTAAACTGGAACCATTTGAAAGAAATGCACTGTGGCATAACCACATGCAGTTACACATCTACGATGTTAGGCTGTGAAGTGATAGCTCCATTCTGCGGTACTGTATCCTGGAAAGGATGAATTTTGAAAAATGATTTTTGGGTTCATACTGGACAAATACTTCATTGTGGTCTTCTGCTGTAGTGCAGTGGCAAAAGAAAAAGACAATTCAGTCCTTTGCGGTATTAAAGAGTGGAAAAGGAAGCATTATTGGAAAAGAGAAGTTAATCTATCTATAGTACTAGTGCATAGAGTTCTATTGTCTGTATTTGAAAAGGATCTTGAAAAAAAACCCGAAGAGTGTGCAGAAAAGACTAAAAAATGATCCATGGGATGGAGAAAAAGGTTTTCTAGTTAGAGGTTTAGTAGCCTTGCCTTACCTAAAATAGCATGAAATAATTCCTATTGAAGTATCCTGGCATAAAATACCAGCTACTAAGTAGCTCCATAATCCTGTGGAGAAAGGACAAAGACTGTGACCCTGAACCAGAAGAACTTCAGTAACAGATGGATGTGAATGAGATATTCTCCATCTCTTGATGTCTTCAAATCAAGAGTTGAAACCTTTCTGGAAGTGATTGGATGAGTCAAACGTGAACTACTGGACTCAAGAAGAGGTTGATAAGTTGTGATTTAGTGCTGTGGACAAAAAAAAAAAAGACTCAATGATTGAGCCCTTCTGGTCTTAAACTGCTTTCATAGATTCATAAACACTCAAATTCTTTTATTTTCAGTCTGACAAAACTGAAGCCTTTACTTTTAGTGCAACCTGAATTGTGTTATGTGTTCCTTTTATCCCTTAAATTTGTGTCTTAGCTCAAACTGCCTTCTGACTTAGAACATTGAATCTGTTTCTCTCTTTCTTTAACTAGATTTATTAAGATTTATTCAAAATTCTTGCTAGTCATGATGTTGTAAAAATATGACACCACTAGCATGTGTTCTCTTATAGCTTATTTTAGAAGAAGGGTGTAAATAAAGAAACATTATCTAACAGTCTCTATCAGTTTCAAGTTGTCCTTCCCTGGTGTAGATTTCCACAGGTTGTGCTTTTGATTAATGCTGCAGGGAATACCACCACTCTGTGCCTGCTTGATAGAAGAACCTGAAGATCATATTAAGGCGGCAGCTGCCTGGGCCCTGGGACAGGTTGGAAGACACACGCCTGAGCATGCACGTGCTGTTGCAGTAGCAAATGTGCTACCCACACTGCTTGCTATGTATATGGACACACGCAGTTCGGAAGATCTTCAGATGAAAGCAAGTATATTAGTAGTATCTGCAGTATGAGATATTTATTGTAATCGACAGGTCTAAGTGCTTAAAAACTACTAAATGGTATGTGCTTTTATTGATGTTCATCGAGTCACAGATTTCCTGGGTGTAGAGTGTCCAAAGACTGTGTGTCATTTGTTAGGACTGGCTGTCCCTAACGGGTGTGCATGTGGTACATACCAAATGATATGGTACAGCCACAGCAGTCTAGTCCCTCATTTTCTTCCCAGTTTAGATTAGAGTTGCATACACCTATAAATGCTATAATTTCTTGTGAGTGACTAATTTCTAATTATCTACTTTTTTTTTTTTGAAGTATAAGCTCTTGTACAAAATATTATAGTCCTTGTAGTAGATTCGCTTACATTTTTATTATTATAATAAAACTGTAACAAATACTCAAAGCTCTGCTCTTGAAAACATGCAACTGCTCAAGTTTAGAGCCTTCCTTGTGTGGGAGCTAGTAGAGTTGCAGTTTGGTAAGGTGTATTTTTGAGTGACAGTAAATGAATCAGCTGAAGAGTATAATATGACAGGATAGGGTCTCCCCTGTTGTACTATGCTTTTGTACATTCCACTGAAGTATAACATTCCAGATCTGTAAAATACCTTTTGTATAGTCATTTTCAGTGGTCACCAAAATATCAAGGCCAAATTAGCTGTACCTATAATCCTACCCAAGAAGGTCGTGACTGCTTGTAGCAGACAGCATTGAGTCTGTTTTCAGAAACGAAGCGCTGATGTACAACTGTTTCACTCTCTCTTTCCCTCCCTGCCTGGGCGGTACTGCACTTTGCTATCCCAGACCAGCAGACTCTCCTAGTAAGCCAGTTCTAAAATACAATCTTTTAAAATGTGTTTTGATTTAGCTTTCTTATTGTATTACAGTACTTCAATTTACTTAAAGGGTCTACTCCTGCTTCCATTGTAGTCAAAGGAAAATTGCCATTACTTTGACCATAGATAACATAATAAGAATGTGATGCACTGTAGGTTTTGAGGTTTAATAAATCTAAGTAGAAAATTGATTCTTTATTAAGTGACCTGATAGATATCGTAGTTTTTATTCAGAAAATGCTGTTCGAGAATTCTGATCAATTTGCTTTTTTGATCAGACTTCAGTGATATATAACATGAGTTCTTGTTTTCATTGATGTCTTACTAGAGAAATTTTATTTTGCATTTCAATAGACTAAAAAAGCCTTAAAGAACATCCTTCAGAAATGCACGTATCTTCCAGCACTTGAACCATTGCTGCATGATGCCCCTCCCAATATTATGAAATATATTGTTGGGCAGTTTAGCAAGGTAAGAAAAGGCTCTGCTTGATGAGTAATACGTTAATTGTTTTCCATTTAGCAAGGAAGCTATCTTTCCAAAGATGAAGTCTCCCTAAAGGTCTCAGTTGTTTTCTCAGGATCCCCAAGCATCCCCTGCAGAAGCAGTTTGGAGCATCCCCTTCTTTTGTCTGATAAAGCTGGATACTGTTTCATCTGGAACCTGCCGTAATTCATCCTAAGACTTGGAAAACAGTTGCTTATAAGCAAGGTGGTTTTTTCTTCCTTGCCTCTTGAGATTAAGTGGGATATTAACTCATGTGCAAATATTTTCACTGAGCCAATGTATCACATAAATCCCAGTCACATCTGTTTTAGATAAAGTACAAGCTATCTGTACAGGAGTGTCTTAAGTCAGGTATTTTACAATAATCTAGAGTATAAAAGCTTCACCACTTTTATCCTCATTAATTTTTAGTCTCAATTAAGTAAGTGTAAAAATCCCAAATCTTTTCTCATCCCTCTCAAAATTTGAACCTGTTTGTTGTTAATTACATTGTTGATTTGAGCGCAGCATGTAAAAGGTGATACAATCTAATAAAAATATTTCAAATTATTTAAGTAATTCCTTAAGGAAATTTCCAGTGTCTGCAATGTTCACCGGCTGTTGAGAATCCTGCTCAACTATAGACTCTTTTGTACAAAACTCTGTCGTGTAATCTGTTAGCAGCGGGTACCAGGCTCTCTTGGTGAGATGTGCTTTCTGGAAGTGGCCAAGTAAAACACCCTTGATATTCAGTTCTGATTATCACAGATCTGGAAGCACTACTGTTTGTAGTGCAGATTCCTGATTACATTGCCACACTTAGGTTTGTCCTGTCTTCTTGCTAAGTCTGTACAAAGACTGGAGATTTGCTCAGAATCTGGTGCCTTTTGCTTCTGTGTGCTGACTGGAGCTATTAGTGAGCTGAGTGCATAGTAACTGGTTACCCAGTGTATAGATTTGAATGTTGTTTGCTGTTGAAGTGGTTTTGTACCCTTCATATCAGCTGATGTTTTGTTTTGTTTCGTTTTTCTTCTCCTGCAGTGTATTAAACAAACTGTACTTGTCTGGCATTTGCTCTTCTGAAGTATACATTTAAAATTAAGTTCTCTGCAGTAAAAGCATTTTTCTCTCCTGTACCATAGCTTGGGAATTTCCTATTCTTAGACCTGCGGTGTATTACTTCTGTTGGCTTATTTATAGCACAGTAAAAGCCTTATTTCTGAGCTGTGCTTCAGAGTGAGATGCTATCCGTTCTTGGTGCTGGACTGTGTCATTTTAGCATTATCCTTTTCAGGGTCTGTGCAATTCTGTGCTGTCTCAGTTTGGACTGGGGGAAGGGACTGTGTCTCAGAGGTGCTGTCTGTCTTTAGGGCCTCTTCCAAGAGAGTTTTCTGCTGTCTTATCCAGCCTGGGAGTCACAGTGGGGAGGAGGAAGGCAGGGAAAGGGCCATATCCTGTCTCCTTGCTAGTTTCTTCTTGTGGGAGATATGTGGAAACAGCCGTCTTTTCAGTTCCCGCAACGGAACGATCACAGTTGTTCCTGGCACTTGTATGGAGCATAGAGTAGGGGGAAGTCTCTATGCTCCCCTGTTTTTTCTTTACCTGTCTGTTGATTTTGTACAGGCTAGAGGGACCAGAGAAATGAAGGCTGTTTGCCTATATGCATGCCAGAAATCTCATCCTTCTTTCCCTTCATCCTTTTAGGCAATCCCTTCCTCCTTCAAGGCTCTTGTTTTACACTGATACAGTCAAATTTATGGCTTGATTTGTCTGACCAGTGTGAAGGCATACAAAATGCTTTTGCTCCCCTAGTATGTAACTCAGAGTTGGTTTGAAACCCATCTGGTTTTGTTGTAGATGCAGCTGATGTCTTGCATTATCTCTCTCTCTCTTTTTTCTTTTTTCTTTTTTTTTTTTTTTCCCTCCCTCCCTCCCTCCCTCCTTCCCATCCTCTGGACAGAGCTGCATATTGGCATCACTCAGGGAGCGCAGAATGTATTGTCTGATTATTTCTGCTTCTCATCCCCTTTGGCTGCAGAAACTTCACATTTTTGCTTTGTGTGTTTGTGTGTGTGCGTTTGTAAAAGGCTTCCATGGCTACACAGTGTGTTGTAGGATTTTAATATCTAGGAATTTAATAGTAGCATGTAATGCTTCAAGGCTGCATTGTTCACTTGCAACAATTCTCAGTATTGTTTTCATCTATACTAGATCATTATAATGATATAAAATTGTGCTCTACAATTAAACTCTGGAAATTGACATAAAAGACCTGAATAACTTGGTTTAAGTGGAACAGATGCTGTTGTTATGCCGTCTTAGTGTTCTGGTTTTATTATCTATTTAATCTCCGCAATCATATTGTCTCTGTAGGAATAATTCAAGAAATATTATTTACATAAAGATAAATATTCAGTTTAGTATTTTTATATATAGTATGTATTAAAGTACATGTTAAATTATGTTATAACCATAAAGGGCTGGTTTATGATTTTTTCTCTGTATAACTGGGTGTTAAAATACAGTAGTCATTACAGATGTTGTACCTCTGATGTGTTCCATTTTATCTGTCCTCTGAATTAAAAACAGATAAGCAATATTTGAGCCTGGTAGCGTAGAGATTCCTTTAAAAGAAAATGTTCTTTTTTTTTTTTTTAATGTACTTTTCTGTGTGTAGGTGTTACCACATGACAGTAAAGCACGTCGTCTCTTTGTAACAACTGGTGGACTTAAAAAGGTTCAAGAAATAAAAGCAGAACCTGGGTCGCTTCTTCAGGAATATATCAACACTATTAACAATTGCTATCCAGAGGAAATAGTAAGGTAAGGAAAATGAAGTTTAAAAAATTCATACTTGTAACGTTGTTAGATGTTTTTCTCAGGAACAACACAAAGCAGGGATTTAAAATATTAATTTAACTTCTACATTAGTTTTGTTTTTCATAAAACAGCACAACATTTGGTTAACTGTCCCAGTGGTAACACAACTGTTAGACACATACTTTTGAATGCCTTTTCTTTTCTGATTGTTTTTGGGATCAAATTTCTTTGTCTGTAAACAAAGGCCAAATAATCAGGCTCTTGCAGGAAACTGGGGGAGAAAAGTCAGTCTTGCACTACCCAGACAAACTCCGAGACTTCAGCACAACCGCTCTCATATTAATGAATGTCTGTGGGAAGTTTAGTTTATCTTGGTAACTTATTTATGGATTACTCAGGCTCCAAACTACAGGTATTGGTGAATCTTTGCTTGCATCCTCGACTTCCCTAAGAGCCTGTCTGATAGCGTATTCAGAGGCTCCTTTGAAACTTCCTCTGATGTGCAGAGGGTCCAGAGGCTCTCCTGCACGGTCGCTCTGCCCACAGCTGCCCTTCCTCCCCCAGCCTCATCATGAGGCTTAAGTGTTATATAAAAGGACCATACACCAGCTGTCTGCACCAAGTTGAACTTTGCCCTTAATGAATACAGAAACACTATTAAATAGCTTACAGTCAAAATGTCACCATCCTAAATTGTAATAATGAGAGAAATGCCCTCCTAGATTCTAGATATCCATTTACCAGTCCTTCACTCCATCAACACATCAAAAGGATGCTGTACTCGTGCACTCCCTCTACAGGCTCTGAAAATCTGCATCATCAATTTTAATTATAGCAACAGAGTTCTTCAGCTAATAGTAGCTGCAAACTAAGTCACACAAAATGAAGCCACGAGGAAAAGCCAGTGGCTGTCAAATGGGTAAAGCAAAATGATAAAGAAACTTTATTCTGCAGCTACAAATACTAATACTTCAGAGGGAAAGAGGACATTGGCTTACACTTTTCTGGATATAATTAATGTTTCTTTGTTACAGCTATTTTTTTTGCCCTGTAAATGAAACAAGGTTACTTATGTAGGCTGGGATGTAATAAAGAAAAGGGCCCCTTCGAGCATCTCCAGCTTGCCTCTTTGTGCTACTGCCTGATGCTGGTTGTGCTGCCTGAGGCACAGCTGCTATAATAGACTCCAGCTCTGGGTTTGTCCTGGAGACCTGTTATTTTAGGCTGTTTGTAGACTGAGTACAATAATGCATTGAAAAGTTAGCTTTACAATCCGAGAACTAATATGAGTTTTAAGAAGAGTTACATTGTGCAGAAATCATCCAGAAAATGAAAATCAACATGGTAAATGGATCTTCCTTCAGTGTGAAAACATTGGGGATTTCTACTTGAATACAATTTAGGCATGCATTAGATGGAAGTGTGTTCCTCTCTCTTTATAGTTAAAGCTTCCAGGGCTCAAAGATGACAATTTACGTGCCTGCAAAACCAGAAATGTACCGAGATATGTGTTTTTAGAATAACATGGTAATAAATTTCAGATACTCTTAACCTGGAAAACAAGAACTAAATGCAGCTTTGGTGATGCTTGCATACTGGAAGCATGTAGTTGGTCCATTGTGCAAAACCAACTGAATGACAGCAGGACAATAATGGCACCACAGAGTCCTACTCTAATGAAAACCTATTGGATAATCTCCATCCTTGAGTTGGCATTAGAGACAGAAGGTCATTGTGATAAATTTTTTTGTTCCGGAATCAATGTCTCTTGCATTGATGTAGACTTCACATTAGCTTTGGGGTGTGTGCTTATGTTTGACGAACAGCAGTAGACTGTTGTCGTCTGGCAGCCTATGGTTCTGTGTAAACTCATCCTTTTTTATTAAAGGCCATAATTTCAAAGAAGTTAACATCTACAGTTCTCAGTAAAGACAATGCTTATGGCTGGGGGAACCATTTCAAAAAAAACTAGCCACTTACCTGCATGCCCTAACGGAAGCTAAACATATTTTTGAAAACCTGACTTCCAAGTATAAATGATAACATAAGTTGAAAAGCAGGTGCTTAAAACATTATAGGAGAATAACTGTAGAATTCCTTGACCAGTGTTTAATGCAAGGATTTTTTCCTGATCAATAGAAATATGAATAGTGTTTCATTACTTAGCACAGAGCATGCCTTGTAGTCTAATGCACAAACAAAATGTTTCTCTTTCAGGTATTATTCCCCTGGATATTCTGAGATGCTTCTGGAAAGGGTGGAAAATTACCATCCAGTTTTATAAACTTCAATTTTTTATTAGAGCTGTATTTCACATTTATGCCTTTATGACTGTAATACAAATACAGCTGTTGAAACTCGTTTGATTCTGAAATCTCCTTCTACTGTTTGAACTACTGAAAGAGCTCAGCAATTCCGGCAAGCTATATTTTGTTCTTTCTAAACTTGTTTGTTGCTAAGTTTTTGTTCCTTTTGGTTTTTCTCTCACATTACTACCAGATACTGCAGCATATATGAATGGAATTTCATGCAGGGGTGATGATTTATCACAGAAGCTTTTTTAGAATCAGTCATTTCCTTTTCCTTCCACAAGAAAGGTTTGTTATTATCTCATTCAAATTTTAGCCTTCTCAGTACTGTAACCATTTTCCCCTTTTGCCTTTGCATATTGTTTAGAGCTTCCCAAGCTTGATGAAGGGGAAAAAGCTGGCCCCTATGCTTTTTCTAATTATGGAATCCGTTCTGCACGCAGATATCTCCCGGTGCTACCTTTCAGAAAGTAAAGCGATGTGATTTTGCATCTCCAAACATGTTAGTAGCTGCTAAATAAAGAAATAATCCAATCTGATGATGATAAAAGGGCTGAATTCTGCATGATATGATAGCGTGGTGGTCCTGGCATGGTAGATAATACATCTTCTGCAAAAGTACCTCTAATTAAGGCAGGATTCACTGTGGAGGGAAGGAGCAATCCACTGTTTGGTGTATGCATCATTGTTCCTCTTGGAAAGGACAGAGTGGACTTAGAACTTCCACGGGCACAAAGGGAGAACACTGGGAGGTTTGGCTCCATTTGGGTCAGCAGCAAATTTGTGTGGCTCAGAAGAGAGGAGAATTGCTTGGCTGCAGGAACACTGTCAGCAAAGTTCTGAGCACATTCAGAGAAAACCTGAGGATACTTGAGTCCCACTGATTTGAGTGATGGGACTAAGGCTGCTCAGTACTTAGTCTTCAAGAGCTGAAATTGCTGCAGAATTGAGTTGAAACACACTTGGAACTTAGTCTTGAAGTTGCAGATCACATCGACATGGAGGTTATTGCAGGTAGGAGCTCTTGCCTGTCTGTAGAACATTCTGGAAATATTTTTGCCTTCTTATGTAGAGTGAAAAGACTTTTACATTCTGCTTACTCCTCTGGTGTACTATAGCAGCAGGAAGCTGCATACAACCCTTTAGTATTCCCCAATATGTAACTGTCATTTACCCTTTTTTGTTCTTCTAACCATTTTTCTTTTCCTCTTATGCAGCAGTTTGTTTTTTTGGTTTTTTTGGTTTTTTTTCCCCCAAAGAGTAATAAACAGTGTTTCTAGAACGGGATGTTGAAATACTGGCAGCCACAAGGAAAGACAATATTTGAAAACCCCCACAGGAGAGAAACTTGTCTACTTTCTTAAACATATTAACTGAATGTGTTTATAAAACAGGGATAGTCTCTTCTATTACTCGTAAAACAGGAGCAAAGACTTACTGCAGTTGGAAATGATTTAGAGTGGCTTTTCTCTGCCAGTTTCCAAATGACTATTTTCTTTTATTCTTGTCAGCATATTTTTCAACAGTTCACAAAAACGTTGATGGGCTATCTTGTGTTAAGGTTTAATTCTACAGAGGGCTGTGCTCCTGCTGTGAGGTACTTGGTGCTCTCGGACTCTGCTGTTCAGGAGGAGCAGGGGATGCACAGTACCTTGCTGTATGGAGCCGAACTGAGATGGAAACTGTTGGTGTCGTGAATGCTGGTATAGAAACCACACCAGCTGGGTTCTTTCCTTAGCCCACATCAGAGTGAAAAGTCTTGGAACTGACTAGCTTCTACCAAATGCCTTTTTGTTTTTGGTGTTTATATTCTGACATTACTAATGCTAGGACACTAGTGGAAAAACATTAGGTCTATTAAAAAGATTGTTGTAATACTCAGTAATTTTCTCACATGCATTGTGGATATTTAAAAATCAGATCTTGTACAGTCTCTAAAAGAAAATGTAATGGAAGGGCTTCCAGACAGTCTTGAAGGATCTGAAGCCTTTATTTTCCCTAACGGAAGAGAAACGGTGCAGAGGGCTGAATGCAGTTGCAGTGCAGATGGGAGGCAGGGTAGGCATGGAGCTGAGTACCCATAGCTGCATCGTGTGCTTGGGAGCACACCCACGCCACACAATGCTAATGTATATGTTTTGTGCAGAGAGAGCAAAGAGGCTTCAGTCCCCTGACAAATGTGCTCCTGCTGTGTCACACTGTGCTACACTGTAAGGATTCCACAGGGTTAAATTTCAATGCCTAAACAATTTGTTCACAGTCTTTTCACAGTCTTTTTCTGATTCCTGACAAAGGAAATGATTGCACAAGGCAAACCTTCAAAGCGATCTGATTGTGCAGAGCACAATCGAAATCAGACCTAGCATAAATACATCTTTACACCAGCTAGGCAGTTCTGTCCTAGGCCAGTGGCTGTTTGGCCTCTTCTCGCAGGACTCTCCTGAACGATGCCACATCCCGTTAGGCTGTGGCAGTGCAAAGTCCTCTCCCATGTACCCTGAGACCCCCTCAGCTCTCCTGTGCTGGCAGGCTGTGTCCCTGCATTGTACGTACACCTTGTGGCTGGAGGCTTCCCTGGAGCTACGCGTCTGCACAAGGCAGATCTCGCCCTTTACAGCAGAATTATCGCTAATTTGTATTTTAGGCTTACATTACTAGGGCAAGAGTTGCTTTTTTTTTGTAGTGTTTCACAAGCTCTGATGTACAGCGTTTCTCTTCCAGCCTCTCATTTGGCTTAAGTCGTCATCTAAAACTATATTAATGTTTGTAATTGCTACTCTGGCAGGCTTCAAGTGTGTATCATTTGTCTCAATTTCATAGAATAAAATGTAGATTTGCATTTTAATTCATTGTGTAAACGGTGTTTTCATGCTAGTTTGTGACTGGGATGCCAGAGAAGATGAAGAACAGGCTCATTTTGCAGCTTGAGCCTGACGCCACCTTTGGATGTTTGTCTCAGCTTACCACTCCACAGTGCCTACTTCTGAGCTTAGGACATACAAGCATTTCAAGTAAGAGTCCTCTCACAGAGGTGGCTTATTAAGACACACAAAGAAAATTAAGCCAGTGCTTTGGCAGAAATAAATGTAAGCAGAGACAGCCCTTAAATAATTTTGCCAGTTCCTTTGACTGCAGCATTGGGACTTTTCAATGCAAGTCTTTAAAGATCTTCTCTGGGGGCCCGAGCCATGATTTTTGTCTACATTACTACAGCTATTATTACATCTACAGATGTAAACCAGGGCCTTGAAAGAACATGTGGATGTGTAAAACTTTACCATATTTCATTCAGTGGATGGATTAACTGGCCTACAAAAGCTCCATTCTTTATCTGAATGACTGGAAACCAAGAGGATCTGAAAAGGGGAAATTCAAGGGGTTCAACTCTTGTGCATATAATATGTTCTGCATTTCCAGAGGGATTTACCAAGGGATTGCTTTGTCTCATCTGAAGCGATCAATCTGCTGGAGATCTGCATCTTAAGAAACAAACGAACAAAATGTTGAAGGAGCTGAATGGAACTGGTGAAGGAAGAAATGAATCTCATTTTGTGAAGTAAAGCATAAAGTTACTGTAATTAGGAAGTGGACGGAGTGTGGGCAGATCCTCAGTGTTCTTGATTTGGTCTAGGGGGTTGTGAATTAGCTTGGCCAAAAGGGAGTTTTAGGCACAGAGGATGCTGTGGGATAGCCTTCAGCTTCTGGTGTAAATTGGAGTCCTCTGATTTCTGGGCATGTAGAGGTGGCTGACTGTTGTCCCTTCAGGTGAGGAATCTGTGAAAGCATGCTTGCCTCAGTATCTTCCTTAATGGTGCCCAGTATCTTGGCTGTTAGAGTTTTAGATCTCGCTATGTGACCAGGGTAGAAAGGGAATATGGAGCAGCATTAGACTGCAAAGGCAGGGGTTCCACTTCTTGCACTGACATAGGGTTGCTTTTATGGTCTTGGATAGTTATTACAAATCCCTATGTATCACCATCTTTGGCTGTGAAGTATCTGTTATACTCCTTTGTTAACTTGCAGGAGTGATGGGAAAATTAAATTCATGAGCGGTCAATGCAGCAGAACTTAAGGTCTTCGTAACTAATACCATATTCAGAAAGGAACATTATTCAAGAACCTACAAAAATTTACCTAAGAAATCTTCGAGATGCTGATTTTTAGAATTTGAGTTGAACTAAAAGCCAGTGGATTTTGTGCGTTTCCTCATCTGACACAATTTGAAGGGATCTTGGAGAAAGAGGAAATTACAATGTCTTTCATGACTATACTAAAACTATTGATGTCATTTTTGTATAATACTTAATTGTTAATATTGATGCTACTATGCTGTATTCTGCAGTCAGCTCTATAATTTAGCTAGTGAAAATACTAATTACATTATTACCACTGTACTGTATTTCTAGGTACTGCACAAAAGCTTGAATTAGAAAATACATGTAAGCAGTGCTAAAGCATACTTTGATGATGAGAATGCCTTTTAAACCAGGAAATGGTACTGTGCTGCCTTTCACAAGAAGTTACTCTTACTTGGGTTAAATGCATTTTGCAGTTGTTTGTGCTCCCTCCCACCCAGAGGTCCGATCACGAGGCTTGCTGGGTGCTCAGCGAAGTGCTGAGGACCACGATCTACTGTCTGTAGCAGAAACCAGTCGTGTTCACTATCATGCATCAGCAAGCTATGGAGAGGAACAATGTGAGTGTACTAATGTCATCATCTTAACAGATTTACACAGAGATTTTGAAGGCTTGCTTTTTCTTCATAAAAATATGCTTGTTCCTACTAGTTCCTACCTCCAAACTGAGTTAAGGAATAGGTGCCCAGATTAACTTTAGCTATTCTATATTTTGTTCCTTTTATAACAAAAATTAAATTTTTGAGAGGGGGGAAAGTGTGTTAATGTCTGTCTTTAAAACAAAGTTCTTGATTATTTTTTCTGTCAAAATCAGCAACAATGCTCTTTATAACCTTGTGGCAAGATCTGTGCCCTTTGCTCTCAAGGAAAGTTTTGCCTTCACTTATACAGACTAGTGATGTGTTTTATCCCTGTTGTCCTATTTATAATTAGGTCTGATGGCCTCTGTACATGTTCACCTTTCAATATTAGGTCAGTGTTAAAGCCATTATCAACCTAAAAGGTTGGATTACT